CAGAATGGATGATGTCGTATCATCCAGGTGGGTGTTACACAATGGTGGTGGTTGAAGTGGTTCCCCATTGGTTCTGTGAAGCACTTTGAGTGCTTGAAAAAGCGCTGCATAAATGTAACTTTCATTCATTCATTCAAAGGAAAAGGAGCCTGACAATTACAAAGTTTATGTGTGTATTTCTTCAGGTAATCCGGATTCATCCTACAGTCGACAGCTGTGTGATTAGGTAAATGTAAAAATACAGAGCATTAATGTGACTTGATATTATTTTATTGTTTAGCACAGTGATTCTCAACTTTTTTTTAATCCAAGGACCCCCTGTGTCCTGGAAAACATGTTTGCCCCCCCCCCCATGTTATGATATTGTTTCTCTTATTTGTGTCTAGCAGAGATGGCAAAAATAGCCAATGTTTATTAATATAAATATAATTATATCAATGTAATAAACAATAAACAATATTATCTTATTTTGAAAAAATATCGACATACCATAAAAATTCGATATGGGCTACCAACCCACTCCAGTTTTAATAATGTCACATTATTTTCGGCGATTTTCAAATAAAATGTGCGACCCCCCCCCCCTCGGTCTTTGTTGAGGTCCCTTAGTGGGACACAGCCCCCCGGTTGAGAGCCAGTGGTTTAGCACATAGAATACATATTATCCTACTGATACATTACATTAGTATCAGGAAAGGTGAGTGTCCTGGTCGATCGTACCAGTCCACTTCAGTGCAAACACTAACAAAATAGCGCATTGTAAAAAAAACTCAGGCTTCCTCCATGACAAAGTGACGGACAGCGAGCAGATCTGCAGGACATGCCAATTATGCGGATGGAAAGTTGAGCAGATCTACAGGACATGCCAGTTATGCGGATGGAAAGTTGAGCAGATCTGCAGGACATGCCAATTATGCAGATGGAAAGTTAAACTTTACTGTCACTCTTAAGATTAAACAGGTGGGTGAACCAAGCAATATACAAAGCAGGCAGTTTTTCGTCTCTAAAAATGAACAGATCAGGAGTACCAGTGCCTCCTTCACACAGGGAACATACTTTACACAATTGCCAATTAATTATATGTCAGTACAGGCCCCCCTCCCACCCCACCCCCCAAAACAGATGCATTTGCCAAATACATAATTTGGTCAAAATAGAATTTCCAGTTCATATAACTGCACTTTTATTGGACTGTGGAATGTGGAAGGGGCATGGGTGCCCTGGTAGATTCAGGGGGCTCAGCCCCTTACTGAAGCCCTTGAATACATAATATTATAAGTAGAAATGTGTGAGGTGGGGGGCAAGGTACCATTTTATCTGGGATCTGATATGCATCCCTGGAATAAACCACTGGAGGCAATATTGACAGAAGGCTGATGACCGTACCTAAAATACTGCAATGTAAAATCTTTTTTTTTTTTTTTTTTACAAAAAAATTTGTAAACAAACATAAATTGTAGCAATCGCTTGTAACGTGTGTATAAAGTTTGCTGTAAATGATTTTGCCCATCAGCAGGGGATTATCAAACTGTAATTGAAACTGAGATAATTAGGTTGCTTATCATCATCTTTGCGGTAGAGATGCAAAGATAAGCAAACGGCTACTTTGTCTAACAAAGAAAAGTAAATTTATTTCTTAAGGCCCATAAACAGCTGAGGCCAACTCCTTGTAGCAACAGAAAATCGGTGAATAGATTAGTTTGTGGCAGAGCTGCATCTGGCCTGGCTATTTGTAGAGGCCAACATAGACAGTCAGCTATTGCAGTGTTTTTAAAATAGACTGAAGCATGACCCCTATGCAGAATCTAAGCACATTATTTAGGAAGCATATATTTCACCTAAAACTCCTTAGTCATGATTAAAGCTTATATTGCTGCAGGAATCATTATCCTTGTTGGCTGGAATAAACAAAATAAGCAGTTTAGATCATTTATAGTCATCAAAACATTAACCAGTAGTAACAGTAGAGCACAGCAATTATTTTATTGATAGTATAGGAAATAACCATTGTGGAACATTTTTGCTTTGAAATTACTATAGTGAAGTGCTTAATTGCCATTGTTGGTGCACCACAGCAAGATGCCCATGTTGCCATAGCAGTGGGCAGCTAATTCAACACCCAGTGTGTTTTTTTAACACTGGGGAATTGAACCAGCAACCTTTCAATTACAATTGTGCTTCCCTAATCATTAGGCCACCACCACCCTGTTTTTGAACTTTACTTTACTTTACTTTACTTAACGTAACTTAACTTAACTTCACTTCACTTCACTTCACTTCACTTAACTGCTTTACAACTTTAATGCTACTAAACTAAAGTTGTTTTACCTCACTTGTATGTTACTTTGGAGAAAAATGTCTGCTAAATAAAAATTAATGTAAAACAAAATGTAAACTATTGTGTATTTTTATAAGAGGCAGCATAGTGCCTCAGTGGCAGCACCTTAGCCTCTCTACCCCAGGTTTGGCTCCTCTCCCTGTGCGAAGTTTGCATGGTCTCTCTGTGTTCGTGTGGGTTGCCAGGTACTCTGGTGTCTCCCCACAGTCCAAAAATACAGTTAGGCAAATCTGTACTTTTTAATTGTCTCAAAGGCAATTTAGAGTGCTTGCGTGTGAAAGTTTGCCCTGTGATGGAGTGACTTGTCACACTGAGTGTCCCTTTCTTTGCGCCCCATCATTCTTGGGACAGTCCCCAGAGTCGGCACAACCTTGTACTGCATAAGAGCTATCGAAGATGGATGGATGGTTATTATAAGTCAGTCATGGGAGTCTTCAGTCTTTGTCTTATCCAACAAAGCTACACATCCAGCCTTCTGTGAATGGTGTCCAACTGCGCCATTTTGACCCAATGAGTCACAGTCTGGTTACCACACAAACTACAGTCAGGAGGTTTTCTGCATGCATTTCGTTTATGGTAAATTTCAGTTTTAGTATCTTCTGCACTTAACAAGGGATCCAGTAGCACTGGGTGTTCCAACAGAACAATATCTGGTTACATATACATACTGTAATGTTTTTAATATAGTGTTTAGGTTGTGAACACACTTCAATAACTCTCTCCCAAATCAGGCTGGCCCATTAGTTTTGAATTGATGTCAAATGATGATAGTGGAGAGAGAGAAATTAAAGCTCTGATGATTAAACTAATGATGGTATATTGCTCTGCATTGTAGTCTCTGCCTTACCTTTTGTTTTTCGGTGTACAGATCCCAGTGTTTGTTTTCTTAGTGCACACAGTTTTTAGTTGTATAGTGTTGTTCACATCATAATAGCGGATCCATGTTTTTATTGATTATTGAACTCTGTAATGGTTTCAAGCAAATAAGTTCCTGGAATAGACACTGTTTGGTTGCATATTAGGCACTTTGGGTGTCTGCCATTATTCAGTAACATAGCATCCATTTGTGGAGACTAGAATTAGCAGTGGTGCAGCGCCCACTGCTGGACATGTGGATTCTGGAGGATTTCTTAAAAAGTTGGCACTACCTGTTGATGATCAGTAGTTGGTTACATTTCCCGAATGACTTCTTTCAAGAAATTGTCCCGCTGTCTGACTGTCTTTGTCTTTAATTTCTTTACCCATCTCCACACATTCTCCTCCCCTGTTTCTTGTCCATTCTGATTTCTTTTCTCATAATATTCCTTGCTCAAAAATTCAAATATTTCTACAAAATGTAAATCAGTGCTTCTTAACTGTTTTAGTCTCAGGACACATATTTCTCCTTGGTCAAGTCCCAAATTATAATTTTTTTTTTTAACCAAATGTATTTTACAAAACTACAGTGAAATAGTAAATAGACCCTAACACAGTAACAGTAGCACAATGCTATTCATGTCCTGGGAGTCACTTTTGGTGACATACACCATATGACTGTGCATTTCTTAGAAACATTACTGGGTCTATTCTGAGATAAAGCTATTTTTGTCCACCCACCTTCCTCCTGCTTGTCTCCTATAAGGTCACTGAAGCCTCACCCAGAGAATGCAGGGCACAACAGCATAAAGTGTGTGTGTGTATGTGTGTGTGTGTGTTTGATGTTTTGATGTTTAGATATTTCCATTTACAAAAAATTGCTGTAAATACTTTTTGGTCCGTTCCATTTATTTTGAGGATTTTGGCATGTTTTAATTAATGCAATTATGAATTATGGTTATCCTTTTTTCCTGTATATACCCTGCTGTAGAAACTTTCTCACAGGAGACGGCTAAAGAAACTACATGCTTTTCCGCATGCAACACTGTTTTAGAGTTTTTAGAAAAGTATGAGCAAGTATTCAGCATTTCCATTCCATTATTTCCTGAACATCGGATACATTGGATCACCTTGCTGAATTCGTTTTGCGATTCCTGTACCCTTTTTGCCCTGTTTTCTTCTTGTTGAATCGCTTGCCTGCTGACCTTCTCAGTCTCAATACTTCCAGTCTCATCTATGGCTTTCAAGACTTTCTGCTGGATTACTCCGATTCCCCTCAAACGTTTTTCCTTTTGTATTCCTTAGTCTTATCTCAGGAACTCAGTATTTCTTAAAATCACTTTCACACAGGGAACAAGGTAGGAGTCACTCTGTATGGGATGTTAGTTCATTACAGGCAGGTGCCTTGATCGCACTAGATATGCATAGCATAATTGCTGTGGTTTATCTCCTATTTAGTGAATAGCTTTTTAAATGGCTTTGAAGCATCCACTCCAATGAGTAACTCTTGATTAACAATAACATTTTGCACCTGCTTTTTCCATTTGAAAATAAAAAAAGAATATTCTTAGAGAAGATTAACCTTTATTAATCTATATCTAATCAGGACTGCTTGATTACGTATACAATGGGGCCTGAGTCAGAATGAGAGTTTAAAGCACATGCTATCTTATTAATGGAGAACCATCCATCCTCCAACCCACACACATACACTTGCACACCATGGGAAATATATAGATGCCAATTAGCCTAGCAGCATATATAGGAACCACAAACTGGGGCAATAAATCAGAAGAATAAAGGATCATGGGATTTGCACAGCTACAGTTTATTGAGAAGCAAATACAGGAAAGCGGAGTAGTGCTATTGGGGCTGCATTTTTACTTTTGTTAATATACCTTTAACAGTTAAAACACATAATGTTTAATATTAAGAAGCATGGCCAAAGACAGCTAAAAAAAAGAAACAAAGCTAATGTTCACGACTGAGACATTTTAAGGGATTAAATAAGCAGTATTTCCTCTCACTTTCCTGCAGCCGTCGTGGCACAGTTCACAGGGCTGCAGCTACAGCTCTCAATGTAGGTGTATGTGTAGTCCATCGTTGATCCATCTGGGCAGACCAGCTGTACCTGCTTCTTGCTGACAGATGTCTCCTGACAGCAGGAGCAGGAGTGGACCAAGTCATTTGCGTTAGCAGAGTACCTGTCAGAGGACAGATAGATGCATGAGAACACTGCGCATGGAAAGTACATTGAGTGGCAGCAGTAGAATACATTTTTAAATGAAGATCAGCGACTGATAAAATGTAGCACACTTTTTTAAAGCTATACACACACACTAGCGTGTAAACTCACAGGGAATACGTCCCGCAATATCCCGTGCATGAGGACAGCTCTACAGGATCTGCGGATTGACATGTGTTGTGCACCAGGATGCTGCTGTTCTTCATTAAGTTGCAATTCTGAATTGGGGTACCTGCAAAGGAAGATGTTTCAGTGTGTGGTAAATGTGAGACCCACCTCCTGGGCCTTTGAGTGTGTGGTAACGAATATTTATTTTGAAATTTACAACATATCACTGGAGCACCAATGCTTATAGTATCCGATTTACTTACAGGTCTGGCAACAGCCATCCGCATCAGTTGTCTCGGTACCCTTTGATACGAAAAACAATCAAATGAAATTGATGGTTATAATAACATATTTTTGGTGCATTTAAGCAGTTCTAAGTCAGTGGTAAACCAGCTACAATTGAATACATTTAATGGATCTGCACCGCAATTTAACAGGTGAGCAGGATTTTTCAGCAGTTTGGATCAGTCAGAGGCTGGTATCATAAGACAGAAAAGATCCTTTCACAAAAAGTTTTGCATTGTAAAGGGAACAGCTTAGATGACAGTAATCATCACTGAGATGTAATCTAAATTACCAAAAGAGAACCGGGATCATGGTGATACTTACAGGCATGCAGTTCCCAGGATCGAACTCTGGGCACACAGCTTTGACTTTCACAGTGGTCAGCTTGTCTCCGATCTTTTCACACTCGTACGTCACACATTTATCATTTGCGGGTGACCAGCTCTGCCCAGGCTGCCAGTCAAATACATATTACTTGGGTAAGTCAAAAATTCTTAATACTCTCTTAGTTGCGGAAGGAAATAAAATTATAACTATTAATATACAGAAGGCAAAGAGACGGGACAGAAGTCTATGTCTTCACAAAACCATGGTGTATCTCAATAGCGCGGCTTACCTCAATAAGATGTGTGGTATTATCGGGCAGGGATGCGATGCAGGTGGATTGTACACAGATACCACAGCACTGTCCCTGAACAGTCTGATACTCAAAGCCCTGCATACAGGAAGAGCAGAATATGCACATCAACACAGATACAAACATGCAAAACAGTTTATGCATTTTTAGGCATTACAAAATCATTTGATGCTAATATTTTTACATTTCAGAATATGCCATACTAAATCATATTAACTGAGCTAGACAAATGTCATTTATATCAGTAATTCTGAATTTATTGCTTTCCTTACAAAATGGGCTAAAAATGTGTTTACGTGATCCTGATACTGACACAAACAAAGTACATTAGCTGGGCCTGTGAAAATTGATTTGAATATACAGTACACTTTAAACATTATAGTACATTAACTGGGCCTCTGAAAATCGATATGTATTTACAGTAAACTTTAAACATTATAGTACATTAACTGGGCTTCTGAAAATCTATATGTATTTACAGTACACTTTAAACATTATAGTACATTAACTGGGCCTCTGAAAATCGATATGTATTTACAGTACACTTTAAACATTATACTACATTAACTGGGCCTCTGAAAAACGATATGTATTTACAGTACACTTTAAACATTATAGTACATTAACTGGGCCTCTGAAAATCGATATGTATTTACAGTACACTTTAAACATTATAGTACATTAGCTAGGCCTTTGAAAATCAATTTGTATACACAGTACACATTACACATATAGACATGCTGTATGGCAACCAATGTGTTTCCCACCTGCTGGCAGTTAGTATCACAGGTCATTGGAACACAGATGTTGAGGTGCAACTTTGTTATCGGATCGATGTTGGTGCTGCAGTTGCACACTTCACAGTCATCACTGGGCATTGTTTCTCCCACCTGGGGGACAGTATGGCAATGACAGTGTCAGAAACCTGATATTAGGGAAGGGACAGCCACAGGTTGACCGTTAAGTGGCAGAGAACCCCTTGCGATGTACCACTAGGCTCTAATTGCTAAGCCTGGTACTCCAAACATAATGGGCTTGGTTGTCTGTAAAAAGTTACTATTTAACTAATATTATGGACTCTTACCTTGAACTCAGTGTTATTGAAAACACAGACAGGTTTTGGTTCTGTAGAAGGTAGGACATGGTGAAATTAGCATATGTGAACATTTATTAATGTTTTGGAAAAGATAAGATATAAGTTTTGGTGGATATTTCAGTCTTCGTTCTCGTATACGAGATGCAACAATTTATGGCCTGTAGGTTACTACCACTGTACTGATGGTATATTCACAGCAGTTATACACAGTAGTGTACAGCTGTACTTTAATGGTGTGTAAGTTGTCATGCAAGGTTTTCTAGGCAGTACCCACCACATTCATAGGATGGGCAGCAAGGTCCAGCAGGTGTTTTTGTTACAAGGGTGTAGCCAGGTGAACAAGGCTGAGGCTTGGGACACAGGGATACGTTACATTCTGCACCGAAAAGGAACGACAGATAGGGTCTGAGCAGCACGTAGATGTAGAACATCCGTGATAAGACAAAATGGGAGGATATCTGTGATACTGTGTATGGTATTTCTGTCTCTTTCTTGAAGAACAAATGCAAAGCTAACAGATAGAAGCAAGTAATGATTCTCTACCACGACCCATTAGGCGACGCAGTCAGCTGCCTAGGGCAGCATCTACTGAGGGCAAGCTTCAGCATGGGCACCACCCCCTCGTGTAGAGCATCCGAGACCAAGTGAAACTGGACCGTGAAGCTTGCCTAGGGCTCTACATAGGCTTCCACTGACATTGAGTTCTACTCACCACATCTGTTCCTCTGGCAGCAGTCCAATGTCTCAGTCACTATCACCTGGCCCTCCAGGTTGCAGGTGAGGTTGGCTTGGGTTGGACACTTGAAAGGCTGGCATTGGATGGTCACGGAGCTGGCATCGCATTCACATTGGTCACAGTTGGTCTGCCAAGTCTCTCCAAGCTGCATTTTGTGGTACAGAGTTTGGAGCACAAGATTGCAGAGTAAATATACAAAAATCCATAAACTTGCATGCCTAATTTGAATGAAAGAATGAATGAATGATCCAGGACGGTCACCTTTCTGAGTTGGCCATCAGAACCATTACAGTCTGAAAAAAGGGAGACAAAACTTAGACACATACACACACTATCATTCAGTTTGGGGTCACTTAGAAATCTCCTTGCTTTTGAAAAAAGCAAGTTTTTCCATTATAATAACATAAAATTTATGAAAAATACTGTGTAGACATTGTTAATGTTATAAATGACTATCACAGCTGGAAACAACTTTTTTTTTAATGGAATATCTGCATAGGTGTACAGAGGCCCATTATCAGCAACAATTAGTCCTGTGTTCCAGTGGAATGTTGTGTTTGCTAGTGCAAGTTTATCATTTTAAAAGGTCAATTGGTCATTAGAAAACCCTTTTGTAATTATGTTAGCACAGATGAAAATTCTGCTGATTAAAGAAGCAATAAAACTGGCCTTCTTTGGACTAGTTGAGTATCTGGAGCATCAACAATTGTAGGTTCGATTTACAAGCGGAAAATGGTCAGAAACAAAGAAGTTTCTTCTGAAACTCGTCAGTCTATTCTTGTTCTGAGAAATGAAGGCTATTCCATGTAAGAAACTGCCAGGAAACTGAAGATCTCGCACAATGCTGTGTACTGCTCTCTTCACAGAGCAGCGCAAACTGGCTCTAACCACAACAGAAGGAGGAGAGGGAGGCCCCAGTGCATAACTGAGCGAGAGGATAAATATATCAGAGTATGTAGTATGAGAAACAGACACCTCATAGGTTTTCAACTGGCAGCTATATTAAATAATACCTGCAAAGGACCAGTCTCAATGTCAACAGTGGGAAAAAAAACTGGGACGGGCAAATGAAAACAGACACTGGACAGAGGAAAAAAGTGCTATGGATATATGAATCTAAGTTTGAGGTGTTTGGATCAAAAAGAAAAACTTTTGTGTGATGCAGATCAAATGAAAAGATGCTGGATGAGTGCTTGACAACATCTGCCAAGCATGTTGAAGGCAATGCGATGGTCTGGGGCTGCTCTGGTGAAAGTAAAGTGGGAGATTTCTACAGGGTAAAAGGGATCTTGAAGAAGGAAGAAAATCACTCCATTTTGCAGCAATGCATCCCTGTGTCCCGACAGCGCTTAGTTGGAGCCAATTTCGTCCTGCAACAGGATAATGACCTAAACACAGCTCCAAACTATGCAAGAACTATTTAGGGAACAAGCAGTCAGCTGGTATTCTGCATATAATGTGTGTCCAGCACAGTCACAGAATCTTAACTCTGTTGAGCTGTTATGGGAGCAGCTTGACCGAATGGTACGTAAGAAATGACAATCAAGCCAATACAACTTGTGGAAGATGCTTCAGGATGCACAGGGTGAAATATTGTCTGATTACCTCAACAAATTGACATATAGAATGCCCAAGGTCTATTTAGCTATATTTCCTATTCAAATTTCTTGTATGTCTTCACGGAAAACAAGGAAATTTCTAAGTCACCTCAAACTTTTGAACAGTAGTGTACTTATATTACTACACATATACATGCATAACAATTAAACAGTTTTCAGTAGAAAATATCAATAAAATCTGTACTTACATGGACAGTCATAACGTGTGTAAACAATGCCGTTTTGACATGTGGCAGTAGTACAATTTTCCACCTGCCATGACTCGCCATCCTGTCACAGAAAAGGAGAAACACTTACAGATTTGACTAGCTGCCCCCACCACATGTTTCATTCCATTTCCCAACAGTACTTTACTCTTTACAATGGATTGAGACAGATAGAAACACAGAAATGCTATGAATGATCACAGGTATAAATATTTAGAAATAAGGTAATTCTGAAAAGAAGACTTAACTACTACTTTAATTATCTATTGAGTAACGTAGGGACTATTGTTGTGCTGGCAATACTCAGAGCGAGTACTTTTTAATTAAATTGTTTTTAAAGTGTCATATTTCACCTTTCTTGGTGGCTGAACATTGTTGCAGTCAAGCCCGGATGTGGGTGATGGTGTGGCTGTGCTTTGCTGTTGTGTTGTCATTGCAGAAGTAGCAGCATTCAGTGTAGAAGATGAAGAAGTGGGTGAAGGTATGGTGGTCTGGCAGGGCATTGGCTGTTTGACCACAATGCATGAGAGACTGCAAATAGCAGTGAAACACCATCCTGCATCATCAGTCTGGTTGTATATCAGCGAACCTGATGGTGGAAAAAAGATAATAGTACCAAGTAAATGAAGAAAGATGTTACTGATAAGACTGAATAATTGTTCATGTGTAGACATCCATACAATAAAAAACAGGACTTACCTGGCGTAAAATCTGTGTTATTGTACTTGCAAGTGCAAGGTAGCGTTGTTTCGTGAACAGTACTAGTATTATAGGCAGCAGAAGTAATTGGGGGGAGGGGATGAGTAGATATAGTTGACGACTTTATCTGTGTTGTAATTTCAGACTGAGCAATTCCAGTGCTAGTTGTCAAAACATGCTGGGGTTGTGTAGCGTATACGGTAGTTTTAGCAAAGGTCATTGTAATAGTAGGTAATGTTTGTGTAATTGGTGCAACAGCAGTATAAGGGGTTGAAGTTTCCATTGTTGTACTGTGACTCTCAGTAAATGATCTGGTTGTTTGTGAGACTGTACTGCTGAAAGCTGAAGTAAAAGAGCTAGTTGGAGGTGTTGCTGAAGTTGTCGGTGGTTGAGACATAGAAGTTGTAGAAACAGTCGAAGCAGATGATGGAGGAATGGACTCAGTCTTGGATGGCTGAGTGGATCCACTAGTAATTCTTGTTGTTGTACTTCCAGTTGAGGTTGTTGGTGCCACCGTTTCAGGTGTTGTTGTGCTGACTGGTATTGTGGATGTTGGGACAGTGGTTGTTTCTGTTTTTGTGGAAGGTGCTGAAGTTGTCTCAGGTCGAATTATGGTTGTGGGGCTTAAAGGTGGTCCTGATGTTGCTGGAGTCTGCGTGGTGGAAGTTGTAATTTCTGCAAGGGTCGTTGTCAAAGCTGTTAAAGGACCACTGGTCTGAATCTTGGATGGTTGAGTGGATCCACTAGTAACTCCTGTTGTTGTACCTTCAGTCGAGGTTGTCACTATTTCAGATGTTGTGCTAACTGGTATTGTGGATGTTGGGACAGTGGTTGTTTCTGTTTTTGTGGAAGGTGCTGACGTTG